ATTATTTTATATAATAATTTTATTATATAAAAATGGATTTGGAATAAACTTATTTATAATTTTTATTCATAGAAGAAATTATAATAATATATATAGGTCAATTCTAAGCAGAATTATAAGACCTCCTAACTTGTTCTCGTAAAACTCGTAAGAACTTATGATCAGTATTCTAATTTTATGTGTATGTATGTATATAATATTGTAAGACGTAAGATTATTCGTAAATATTTACGATTTCTTGTAAATCTTATGGCTAGTAAAAAGCTGTCTGTAAAAATGTCGTATAAAGGTATAAATACTTCAAAATTCTTATAAATCTTACGAGAATATATTACGAACGTTATAATTTTGTTTAGAATTTAGGCATAAATATAATATATCAAAGAAATAATAATAGGGTTAATATGTAAAGGGTGTCCCAAAATTAACGCAAGATTTGAATTTGCCGCCATTTGTGCAGTAAAGTGTTGGCAACCCAAAAAAAAAAACAATTTAACAGCTGACAGTTTAGGGTTAGTGAAAATGGAGCGTTACACGATAGAACAACGTGTGTTCATTATTTAACAAATGGATGCTGATTTTTCGAGCAAAATCATCCTAAGCGATGAAGCACATTTTCACCTTGATGGCTTTGTTAATCGCCAAAATTGCCGCTTTTGGGGTACGGAGAACCCACATGTGATTGTCGAAAAACAAATGCATCCACAACGTGTCACTGTTTGGTGTGGATTTTGGGCTGGAGGCATCATTGGACCATACTTTTTTGAAAATGAGGCTGGTCAAGCAGTGACTGTTACTGGTGCTCGATATCGCTACATGATAACACAGTTCTTTCTGCTGAAATTGGATGATATTGATGTGGCCAATATGTGGTTTCAACAAGACGGTGCCACATGCCATACAGCTCGTGAAACAATTCAGTTACTGCATGAGACGTTTCCAGGTCGTGTACTCTCTCGTTTAGGTGATCAGAATTGGCCCCCTAGATCGTGTGATTTAACACCATTAGATTTCTTTTTATGGGGTTATTTGAAATCACAGGTCTATGTCAACAAGCCCACAACCACCCGTGCATTAAAGGAGGAGATTCAACGCTGCATCAACGAAATTCAGCCACATTTATGCAAAATGGTCATGGAAAATTTCGACAAACGAGTGCGTATGTGCATGCAAAGCCGTGGAGACCATTTGCCCTATGTGTTATTCTACAAATAACCCTATCCTATGTACTTTATAATTCAATAAAAAAATAACAATCAAAAGACTAAAAACTGTGTTTTCTATTTAATTCAAATCTTGCGTTAATTTTGGGACACCCTTTATATATATCTTAAAAATATTATATATTTAGAAAATCTAAATACATATACATACATATACATTGTATATAAAATTTAAATATCTATATGTAATAAAGCATATAGAGAACTATACAAATTTTACTTAAGACATTTTTTCAAGTTTTCATATATTTTACTATTCCGACGACAATTACTCACGCATATGAACATGGATTATGTATATACGGAAGCGTTAATAATTAATTCTTGAAAATGATACGTTGTAATATAACTTTATTACACAAGGCTGAATTCGTAAAAAAATAATCTTTAAATTAGTAAAAAAAATTTGAAAATTTAAAATAATTATGTGTAGTGGGGATATTTTATTAAACAGAAACAAAATTTTTTAAATCTATAACTTTAAAATACTCTTGGAACCATACAACTTTTGTTTAAAAAATTTTTTTCTATTTTTTCTACTTCCGACGATATTCGCCTTGATGCGTTCGGTTCGATGCGTGCACAGGTAATTCGCACTTGGTACGACGTCGAGTAATTTCTCGTTCGAAAAAGTGTGTATTGCGAGCAGTGACGAGACCGGCAAATCTCGTCGGAAACGCCGGTAATCTCGCGCACTGAACGGTCTCGCGGTACGCGTATATCGATCACGTTATGTGATAGCAGGCACCGATGATACGCGACGACAAGTCAATTCGTTCGCAAAGATGCTCTTAACATTCGCGAAGATGCGTTAAGAGCGAGGAGCGATATACAATATGATGTACATTGATCGTGATCCGGTGGCGAACTGACTATTCTTACACGGAGCGTGTGCGCGATCGACGATTTTCTGGATTTACGCAAGGGGGGTCGCGTGCCATTTTAGACAAACGTGATTAGCACAGGATCGAGGTATGCTCGTGTTTTGATCGCTTGGTGTTGACGAGCTGTTTGCTTGCTCCGAGAATATGAAAAGATTATAACGATAATTCCGGAACATACCGCCCGCCTCGAATGTAAGCATTCGAAATAATTCTCATCAAAGCACGCAAAATACAGGAATGGTATAACGACGAAAATGCTTTAACACAAAGTACAGAAGTCGTGACGCAATACAGTTGAAAATTAAGATTTCGCGATATCGGTAACATCAGGTACGTTTACCGAACATCCGCCCGCCATGACGGAATCTTTTGATTTTTCGGAATTGATCGTGACGGGTAGAAAACAAAGTTTCGCAATCGGTCTCTTATTCTCGGAACGCCCTATTTTTACAGTGACGACGCAAGTTAAATTGTCATCGCCGGGATGACACGCCGTAATCCGGCCAAGTTCTCATTGGCTCAGTGGAACCAGAGGGTTTGCACGAGAACGATTTGGCCTATTTTAGCCAATCGCTGGACAACGCGCCACTTTGGGCGTTATTGAAGAGTATGCAAGTAATCACCGGACCAAGACCTCCAAAAACTTTCAGTTATACGTTGAATTGTTTGCCAACGCGAAAGGCGGTTTTCGTTTAAGTTAAGTACACTTGGTTCGGCGGGAGCAATAAGCGAGGTTCCGATTAAAAAATGACCAGGAGCCAGCGCATGATAATCGTCAAGATTATTGGATACGGGAGCGATCGGACGCGAATTAAGGCACGCCTCGATTCGACAGAGCAGCGTAGACATTTCCTCAAAAGTTAGCGTGTGGAGGCCGATGCATCGTATGAGATGATACTTGACACTATTAGTATCGGCTTCCCATAGGCCGCCGAAGTGCGGCGACGCAGGAGACAGGAAGTGCCACGCAGTTCCGTCGATTGTGAGTCGATTACGGAAGATGGTATCTCGAATGGCTTTTGCATGTTCGTTTGACAGTTCGCGATCGACGCCGTGAAACGTGGTCCCGTTATCGGAGTACATGGACGTCGGTAATCTTCGGCGCGAAACAAATCGTTGATACGCTGCTATAAAAGTCGGAGAGGTGTAGTCGCTGACGAGCTCTAGGTGCAGAGCTTTGGTTGTGAGACATACAAATAAAGTGATATATGCCTTTTGTGAATTATGCCCTCGACCGGGAGTCGTGCGAACAGCGATCGGACCTGCGTAATCGACGCCGGTATGGACAAAGGCGCGAGCGGTACTGTTGACTCTCGGAGCCGGGAGGTCACCCATGAGTTCGACGGGCACGTCGGCGCGTTCATGTGTGCATGGTATGCACTTATAAAGAACGGATCGAACGATGGCGCGGGCTCAAAAGAATCCAGAATTCTTTCGCAATGACGCGAGCGTTAATTGAGAACCGATATGCAATGTTCTAAGATGATGGTGCTGGATAATGAGTACCAACAGCGGGTGCGGTCGTAGGACGATGGGATTCTTCGTCGCTTCTGGGAGACAAGCTCGACAAAGTCTTCCTCGAATCCGAATAAGTCTATCCTCGTCTATATAAAGATTGAGAACGGAGAGCGGAGAGCTCTTCGGTACCAGGCGCTTTTGTTTTAGAACCGCGATCTCATTAGGAAACATGTGGCGTATCATTTTGTTTTTGGACAATATATTTTAAACAGAAGTTAAAAATAAAACTAAGAAACATAAGTACAAATTAGAAAATGCCTTCTATTAGATAAAATATAGTAGTTTTAATAATAGTATTGGGAATACAAATTAGTTCGGTCCGTTTCTAAAAGATGGCTCCAGTTGTTCCAGCTGGTTCATAGTGACAGCTTTTGGCGGTTTCAGAAACCTTAGACATCTGCTAATAATATTCAGTTCATATCGCTTTGAGTTTCATACAAAAACCTTGATTTTTACTGTGTTTGAAATGTCGAATTTTGTGTTAACCAAGCAGCATTTGCGGGAGGTTTTAATTTTCTGCTTTAATTGGAAGAAAAGTGCAGCTGAAGCCCATCGAATGCTTGTCGAAGTTTATGGTGACACTGCTCCAACTGATAAATCATGTAGGGAATGGTTTCGGCGTTTCAAGGATGGAAATTTCAGCGTTGAAGACAAACCTCACTCTGGACAGCCAAAAAAATTCGAACACCAAGAATTAGAGGCATTACTCAAAGAAGATCAGAGTCAAACGCAAGAGGAGCTTGCAGAATCATTGGGAGTAACTCACTAAGCCGTTTCTGTACGATTGGGAGCCATGGGAATAATTCAAAAACAAAGAAATTGGGTGCCTTATGAGCTGAAACCGCGAGACGTTGAAAGGCGATTTTTCACCTTGTGTCGCAAAAGTGGTAAAAAAATATTTGGAAACGCTCAAATGGAATGTTTTACCGCACCCGCCGTATTCTCCGGACATTGCTCCTTCTGATTACTGGTTGTTCCGAAGTATGCAGCACGATTTGGCAAGTCATCGGTTCACTTCTTTCGCAGAAATCGAAAATTGGCTCCAAACTTGAATCGCTTTCAAAGACGAGTCATTTTTTCGAAATGGAATTCGAAAATTGCCTGAGAGATGGGAAAAAGTAATAGCCAGCGATGGACAATATTTTAATTAACCTGTTCATTCATTTTGTTTTGAAATAAATGCATTTTTGAACACAAAAAAACGGACCAAATTTGTACTCCCAATATTTACAATTTTGCAATAACTAACTCTTCATAAGGTGAGCAAAAATGAGTTCCAGAATTGACACAATAGACAGTATATCACAAATTCCTATTCTTTGCCTTTTATTGGAGTCAAAAAATTACAAGTGAATGTATATTTACAAGATTTTTTAGTATTTTCTCACTTTGATGTAAAACGTTTTTTATTCATTTATATGCATATTTTATGCATGTTATGCATATTATGATGTTCTGCAAGACGCAACATGTAACGTGACGTTTTCTTTTTTTTTAAAGTTTTTACATATGTAATAGTTTTCGGCTTCAATCAAAGTTATTTTCATACTATAACGCAAGATTATAAAGATTAAGTTAGCCTGTTTTACAGACAAACCGATTTACTCTGTACTCTTATTTTTATATATTAGAAAGTGGCTTTAATTGTTACAAATGTTTAATGAAAAGGAGCATACAGCCACACTTTAAATACCTAGCGCCTTCCCGGTCCTAGTGTTAAGATGTTGAACTACTATCCAATATACATTCAATTAAATTGAATTAATATTTCAGAATTAAATTGAGAGCCGATAAATCATCGGATTCACACAATCATTCTGATAATCCCCCCAAATTCACTCAAATCTTAAAAAACTGTAATAAATTTATTGCGAAAAATATTGCCTCGGCCGGGAGTCGAACCCGGATCTCTTGCATTCCGTGAGAGCGTCTTGAGCCTTTAGACTACCGAAACTTATTTTTATATTTAAAACCATATCATAAAGAAATGAAGAAGAGAAAATATAAATAAAATTGATTTAGAGAACTAAAACATGCAAAACGGAATTACCAATAATATAACCATTATAATTTAAAGTACACAATTTGTAAAAGAAATTGTTCGTAATCTATCCAATTCCTTTCCTTTATGAATAGACATTCAACGACACCATTATATCTCTTTTAACAATTATTAAGTAAGATTTTTTGTTTTACATAAAAATAAATTTAATTGACTGTGTCATAAAGAGAATATAAAAAAAAAAACGAAATTGATTTAACTTATTAACTACTATTGTCTTGTTAAAGATACTCAAGAATTAATTGTTTCTGAACGTCTTCCTGAATCTACCAATGTTTTTAATAAATATCCAATCAATATTTCGGTAGATCCTATAAAATTTTGTGACATAAAAACTAATCCGTTACAACACACGAATGATAAGTGGTTTTTCAATTTATCTGGCAGTGACATTCCGTCATCTGTTACTTATTTGTTACAACTAGGCAACACTTTCTGTCTTCCTCCGATTATTGATAAAAATTCGTCGTTCATGAATTTATCAAAAACCTGAAAATAATAATCGTCACTTTAATAATATTTGTAAAAGCAAAATCCGAACCGCCATTGTCCCTCGACATGAAAATTGTTTGTTAAATGAATTTAACAATGATATCATTGAAATATTATTATCCCTATGAAATGACTACTTCATTTTGCAAAAGAATCCCAATGTCATCTTCACCCGAGCTGATAAGGATAATGTCACGGTCAAGTTAGACAAGAATGAATATGTTAAAAAAATGGAGGAGTTGCTAGATGACACGAACACTTACATTATAATTAACAAATATCTTGTTAAAAAAAAATGGAAAGAAATCTAATTCTATTAAAAAAAATGATATGATAAAGAATTCATTTTTAGAAAAATTTAATTATTTCTCCATTCATCTGATTCCTCTCTCCTCAGAGCTTATAAACTTCCTAAATTACACAAGGACAATTATCCACTCAAAATAATTATATCATCAAATAATACGGTCCTGCTGTTTTCCTACATACAACAATTTCTAATAGCCTGCTTAATAACCCTCGAAAAGTACCTAATACACTGCTAAAAAAAATTATAGCATAGAAAAATTTTAGGCAAAAATTGGCCATCTCTGACTGACGATAACTTTGCAAAAGATTATTGTAGGTTAACGTCTTTTTTTTTAAATTAAAGCATGAAATCTCTACTTTAGGACGTTATGGCTAGATTTTAAGTTTAGTGCACCCACTGTAACTCTCAAAACATAAGGGTGTGTTTGTCATATTAAAAATTGTAAAGTTTGACGGAATGCACAGGTTTTGTAAAATTTTTCGGGGAAATACCGTTTGCGCAAAGTTTGAACTTTCCCTTTTAATTAAAAAAAAAAAAAATTGCTAAGATTTTTTTCGCAAAGTTACAGCACTTTAAGTAGCTTTCGCATTTTTTATATATTATATACTATCAACTATCGATATTACTTGCATTACCGGATATGCACCACAGTGAGGTTGCTGAATGGATTTTGCACATCGTGTTTCTGGATGTGTATAAATTTCAGTAACGCGTGTTAAAAGATTTAGCAAGACAACCTATCAATCTCAGAGACTTATTACAAGCTCTAGTACAAATCTGGAATGACATTCTGCAGGAAGAAATTAGGGCCTGTATTAATATGAGGAATCGACTGCAAGCAGTAATCAAACAACGCGCAGGCAACACGCGTTACTGAAATTTACATGCACGCACGCACGCACACACGCACGCACGCACATACAGAAGCATGATGTGCAAAATTTATCCAGCAACCTCGCCTTAGTGTACTATCCGATAATGTTGGTATATGTCAAAAATGTGAGGTCTACTTTAAAGTGCAATAATATTGCGAAAAAAAATCGCAGCGACTCGTTTTTTTTTTAAATTATAGGGGAAAATTCGAACTTTATGCCGCTACAAATGGCATTTCCCAAAAATATTTTACAAAGTCCGTGCATTCCGTCAAACTTTGCAATTTTCAATATGACAAACACACCCTTATATAATATTTTGAGAGTTACAGTAATAGGAGTGCATCAAACTTACAATCTGACTATATCTTCTTAAAGTAGAGATTTCAACCTTTAATTAAAAAAAAAAAACAAATGTTTTTCTACGATAATTTTTCGCAATGTTACCGTCAGTCAAAGTTGGCCAATTTTTGCCCAAAATTTTTCTATACCAACATTTTTTTAGCAGTATAATTTCAATCTTTAGAAGCAACTTTGTGATAAAAAAAAATCAACAAATCTGACATCTCTAATTTCATTGGATATTACATCATTATTTACTAATGTTCTTCAAGATCGGGTGATTGAGAGTATTAACAAAAAATGGCAAGAAATAAAAAAGAATACCTCGATCCGGAGGAGTTTATACAGAGTGTTCAGCGTAACGTTCGATTTTTCAAACACTTCCGATAGTTAAAAAAAGATTGAAAGGTGAATATTCGTTTGTTTTATATATGCTACAATATGCTACAAAAAAATTTTTTAAAATTTTTTTTTCATAAGAAAATCAAAGTCATCTTAAATTTTAAAAAATAGCACTATACAATTTTTTTATAATATTGTAGCAGTCTTTAAAACAAATTTAAATCACTCGAAACTTTATTGACGTTTGATTTTATTGCATATTTTATTAAATAAGTACATATACTCGTATGTATGTACAGCTAGTCATAGAAAGATTGCAATACTTTTTTTTCGATGGGTTTTGGAATGCAGTTCACCGAGCGATTAATTCTTATTTATAGATCCAAGATTAAGAACC